CCTTTGCCCCTCAACCCCTCCTCACAACCCTTCCCCCTGCTTCAGGCTCAACCCTACGCAGAGCTCAAGCTGCTAAAGCAAGGTGGCATCAAGCAGATGCCTCAATAAATCAGTCTTGTCCTCTTAAGTTAGAAACAATTCCACCCCCACAGCCGGTCCTCTGGCTTCATGCCATCTTGGATCCAGCCGGCAACTTGCAAATGAGCCCTGCATCCAGGCTAAGGACTAATGTTCATTCATAGGGAAACTCGGTGTGGTTAATTGGTATTTATGTCCCCAGGTACACACCCTGAAGTTAATAGATGGAGCTGTTCCTGTCAGCTGGAGGCAGGGAGAGAGACTGGTTAACATGGTTGTGCCAAGGTCCTCACCTTGCCCACCCTGCCCAGGGCTGAGTTTCACCTTGGCTACATTTGCTACACGGGGCGGGCTGGTGGTGGGGGTCACCATTGCACATTTGAATTCCTCCCTCCCCTTAAAAAAAAAACAACTCCTACCTGCCTCTTCTCTTCCCAAAAGACCATGAAACTGAAATCAGACTAACTCAAATTAGACCCCAGCTCTTTCTGGGACTACCTCTTTGATCTTGGGCAAGTGACTTAATCTCTCTGAGCCTCAGTTTCTCCAAATTCAAACTCTAAAGCAGATGAGACACACCTTCCAGGGCCAAGTACAAGGTCTGAAATACAACAGGTGCCTAGTTCACCACTGCTCCACAGACACCCTCACCATGTCCCCCAGGCCCCTCGTCTCGATGGGTTCCCACCGAGCTCAACATCCCCCCACTGCCGCCCCCAGTAGCCTAAGCCAGAAGGCTGGGTGTTATCTGGGACATTGCTCTCCCCAACTCCATAACATTTAATCACTATTTAGCCCCAGCAATTGTACCTCGTATGTGGTTGTCCCATCTGTCCACGTCTCTCTACCCACTGCCATGTCTTGGATGCCTTCATTTCTCTGGGTTCTCACACTAGCCTCTTAACTAGTCTGCCCAGCCTCAGCCTCATTCTGCTCTCCCTCCCCAGGTATAGTCTGCCTTGCAGCCAGAAAGAGTTCCCTCGAGAGTATTTCTGATCCGGTCACTCTTTTGTTCAAAACCTTTCCATGAGCCCCCCACCCCCAGGACAAAGTACAGTCTTGGTTACAGACAGGATTTAGAGAATCCTTTGCAGCTGCCTCCCCTGACCTCTCCCACCTCACCTCCTGCTGGGGCTCCAGGTACCCTGTCCCAGGCCCTGGGCTCATCGTGTTGTGCCTGAGTCCAGGTGGAGGACTCCGGGTGGCCTGTGCGCGTGTTCTCCCATCTCTCCCTTCCACATCTGCCCTGACTCGCACTTCAGGGCTTGGCTTGGGCATCACCTCCTGCCGGAAATCTTCTCCGCCTCTCCGAGCTGGGTAGGACCCTTCTCTGGGCTCCCACAATCTCCCATGCTTCTGTCTCGCTTTCCTGCAGGAGGACTCTGTACTGAGTAGGTGTTCAGACTTGAATGCTGCAGGATCATCCCTAACAGGTTGGTACAAACGGGGGGGTGAGAGGGTTACATAATTCAAATCTCCTTCCAAATAAGAGGAGCTCCATCCTCTTAGGCTGGCTCGAGACCTCGTAGGAGGCTGAGGTCAGGTGGATTCTCCTGGGCCCTAGGGGCAGTGGCCGGGGCTCATTCAGCCTCTGGACAGCCGGATTGCCTGCCTATGGTCCTCCAGGACTCAACTCTTTCCACCAAAGTATTACAACCATCTGCTCTTCCACGCATTTCATTAGCCTCCTGAAGCAGACCCAGGAGCCTCAGGGGCTGAGTCTAAGCCCAGCATCAGGCCGTCAATCTTCCTGCCAAATCCATGGCAAAAATAATCTCCCAGCCCCAAGCCAGGCCTTTGGTGGTAGCTTTCCTGACCCAGGGCTCACAGAGCAGCCTCTGGGTTGGATCCTTGCTGCCAGCCTGGCACCTCCAACCCAGCCTCTACACAGCAACCCAGGGCCCCTCCCTTCCTGAAAACCAGTGGCATCACTGCCTGCCTGAAAGGATAGAGTTCCTGCCCCCCCACCAGCCGACCTAGGAGGCACATGTGACCTCACTGCACNATAGAGTTCCTGCCCCCCCACCAGCCGACCTAGGAGGCACATGTGACCTCACTGCACCCACCCTCCCTGCCTCCCCAGAGCCCACCCCACCCTATCCCACTCTGCTTCAGCTACACAAACCCACTTACTGCTCCCACCTGTACCTGCCCTGGCCTTTGCTCTGCCTGGCAAGCCTGCCCCATCTTTTCCCAAGAAAATGCATATTAAATGTCATCTCCTCTGGGTATCCTGCTTGGACTGGCCAAGGAAGGCAGACGTTTCCTCCTCTGGGCCCTGTGTACTTTTCTGTTATGGCCCCATGACACAGTGCTATCCTTTCTTCTTTTGATTTTTGGCTCTCTAGCTAGACTAAGAGCTCCCAGAAGGCAGGGGCCAGGCCAAATTCACATCATCCCTGACTTCCTCTCAAGGGCTAGATTAAGGCAGGCACTCAAATGTTTGAGGGATAAAGAAGGAAGAAAAGGTCACGCCTTGCCTTCCCTGGCACCTCTGTCCTCCTGTATCATATGTCAGCCGTGCACCTACTCTGGGCCAGGCTGTTTGGCCCTCCATTAGTTGGGGTGTCTGGGCTTCTTTATCTAGCTCCAGTGGGCCAGGGAGACCCGTTCAGAAGCAGGAGTCAGAAGCAGGAGGCCTCAGGGTCCGGCCAGGGCCTGGGCTGTGCGACTGTCCCTCTGCCAGGCCACCACGCAGGGCTTTCGCTGACGGGCCCTCCCCCAGGCCTGGAGTTTCGTGCCAGTTCAGGCTCTGGCTCTGTCACTCCCTGGCTGGGCACTTGTCTCCTGCCCAACCTGTTTGCAGTGGGTCACCTGTTCGTGCCCACAGAGGTGACTGTGGAGGAGTACCAGCCCACCTGGGTGGCTGGACCAACCACAGCATAGGCCACCCCGGGAGATTTTGTTCGGAACTTCGGCTTCGCAGGCTCTCACCATTGTTGTGTGTGGCAATCTTGTCAGATGCTCTTAGATGTTTTTCCAACACTTCCCGGGCTGCCCCGGGAGCCATTCCTCTCGCCCAGTTAGGATCCTGGCTGTTCCTCAATTTTGCCACTTGGTTATGATCAAGTACCTCATCTCGAGCCTCAGTTTTCACTTCTGCAAATGGAAGTCATATCCCTTGCCTGTTGGTGTGAGGCACGGATGAGGCAGGGGAGGTGTGAGTGATGGCCATGGGGAGACAGAGGCCACCCTGGGGTCTGCAGAAGCAGCAGCATCACAGCCCCTGCCCTCCAGGAAACTCTCCCGCTGCTGCAGCCCGAGTCAGTCGGGGACATCTTGGCAGAGACCAGGGAGAAAGAGCTGGGGACCAGGTGTCGGCCCTGGTGCTGGGCCCTTGCGGCACTGGCTCCCCAGCTGGCTCTCAGCCTCCCCCTGAGAAGGCTGACTGCCACTCTGATCCCTGGGTCTGTGGCAGGTGGCAGGCAGTGAGGAGGTCTCAGCAGCTGCCCAGTGTCAAGGAGGGCCTTTCCAGGGTGCCCAGCAGCTGGAGTGTGTGTGCTGGGGAGACAGAGAATTGGAAGGTCTCAGCCAGAAGCTAATAAACAATATTGGCTTACGGTGAAGGAGGAAGTGGGCAGCTCCACACTATTGGGACTGATCTATTGGTTAATTAGGAGATTTCCACAGCCACAGACTATGCCAGCTGTGTGTAGGGCCAGGTAGGGAGGGGGCCACAGGGTAATCAGGGCTGCTGGAAGGCCAGCTGGGGTCTGAGTGTGGCTCAATGTCTCCCCTGAGCCAGGAGCCTCAAGTGGCTGAAGGAATAATGTGAGGGGTTGGGGTCAGGCAATGGACCTAGGACTTGATGGCTGGGGCACACCCATCAAGACCGGCTGTCCTGAGTTCCTAAACAGAATTCTGCTATAGCACGGGGGTGGGGGCCCTCTGTGGTTTCCAGGGCAGCCAATTGAGTATGGGGAGCTATAGGTTTGGAGAAGAGAGCTGATGCAGAATGAGGAAGAACCAAGAGAAACACTGGAAACCATGGGATCTGAGAACAGAGGTCCCAGAGGTGAAGTCGGTTCTGCTAAGTAGAAAAGGTAAACAGCAGTAGGTTTGAATCCAGCCTCTCCCAAACACTAGCTGTGTGGCAAATTGCTAAACCCCTCTGATTCCTGATGTCTACATCTTTAAAGAGGAAGGAATGATACCTACCTTGCAAAGCTGTAATTAGATTGAAGAATGTAACACTGTAGTAGCTGTTCCCCTCTCCAGGGGATCTTCCCAACCAAGGAAGAACCCAGGCCTCCCACATTGCCGGTGGATTCTTTCCCAGCTGAGCCATCAGGGAAGCCTCATGGGATACATACAAAGTGCTTAATAAGTATTTGCTATGTTTATTTTGTATCTGTTAGTATTAAGTTACTCTGACTTCCCTGATGGCTCAGAGGGTAAAGAACCTGCCTGCAATGCAGGAGACCCAGCTTCCATCCCTGGGTTGGGAAGATCCCCTGGAGAAGGGAAGGGCAATCCACTCCAGTATTCTTGTTTGGGAAATCCCAAGGGTAGAGAGGCCTGACTCTACTACAGTCCTTGGGTTCGCAAAGAATCAGACACGACTGAACGACCAGCACTACCACTACGCTATTAAGGTACTCAGGACAGGGCTTCGAAGGGAGAAGGGGCTTGGTAGAGGAAGCAGGGCTTCCAAGATGCTAACAGAGTTGGAGGAATGGGCAGAAGGACAAACCTCCTTCCTGCCAGAGTTGCTATGGACACAGTCTGGGGGTTGCCTGGCCTGGGGGCCTGCGGTTGGCTGCGTGGAAGCATTTTCACCGTCCAGGGGTGTCACTCCGTGGACTGAGTGTCCACTTCTCCTCAGAGGATTCCTGGCTTTGGCCCCATCCCCTAGTACGGTCCAGCCCTGAAAGAGGAAGGACAGACAGACGGACACGCGGCAGAGCGGAGGCAGACAAGGTTTATTCTGGTCCTCTGGCAGGTAGGGCCCTGCACGCCTCTCCACCACCTGCGGGCTCTGGACCCCGCTCCCCGCCCCAGTCGCAGTCCGCCGGCGGTCTCCCGCGAGGCCGGGCGTTCCTGGAGCAGCCGGCGGGGCCCGGGGATCCCGGGCGGACGCGACGGAGGGCGCGGCGGGCACCACCCGGGGGGCAACGGGCGCGGGGGCGGCGGCGGCCGCAGGGCCACAGGCGGCGGAGGCGGGAGCGNGGTTGTGGGGATGAAGGGAGTTAGAGCGCAAAGCGCTTGGACCAGCGCCCGGCACCTACTGAGGCTGGGGCGGAGCTCAGCGAGAAGTGACCAACCGGCCCACGGTCATCAACGAGTTAACTAGAGAGTGAGCCTAGGTTTGACCCCAAGTTTCAAGCCCTGAAAGCCGGTCTGACCACAACTCAGGCCAGATGTGGGCGGTAATAAAATAGCTGATGAATTTCATTCGTGTGTTCCTTTTGCCATTCATTTCATGCTTACAGAGCACGGACTAAGTGCCAGGCCCTGTGCTGACACTTGGAACACAAAGATGTTCTCTGGATTCTCCCAGTGAAGATGGGGTGAGGGCACGATGACCCCCTCAAGTATGCCCTGCAGTATACTCGGGGCAGTATGCCCCGAGACTGGTTGGTGGGGGCCAGACAGCTGTTCTTTTTCTCCCTCCCCCTCCCTTTTTGGTCCCCCATTCCCTCCTTCCCCTCCCCCAGACCGGGCCGCGTTCCCAGCCCAGCGCACCTGTCCACTGAGACAGCCGCCAGGGTGAAGCTGCTGGCGTACATGGTGAGGTAGATGAGCAGGTGCACAGCCTTACAAACCAGGGCCCCGAAGAGCCAGGCGTCCAGCGTGTAGATGGCGGCCTGGAAAGGCACGCAGCACAGGATGAAGCAGAGGTCAGCCGCCGCCAGGTTGAGGATGAATAGATCCGTCGTGCTGCCCGGCTCCTGCCAGGCACTCGGGCCAGGCTGCAGCAGCACTGCCAGCACCAGCCCGTTGCCCACCGTGCCCAGCAGGAAGATGAGGGCAAAGACCACGGGCACTGCCACAGCCCCCATACTCCCCGGGCTGTCTAGAGAAATGTTCTGAATATCAGCCATCTTCCCAACAGATGGGCACCTGAGGAAGAAAAGCTGGAGTCCTCAGCTCTGGTCACTCAATTCAGGGGTCTAGTTCCCCCACCATAGCCCTGGCCAAGTCTCCTGGGGTGGACGTTTGTGGGGAAATAGGGATGTTGGGCAGACAGAGACAAAACTTATCCCTGAGACCCACTGTGCAAGCTCCTGGCAGTCTCAATGGTGTCCAAGGTGGGTTTCTCAGTTTCCTAGGAAACATCCCAGGGCGTGAAGGACTAATTAGGTTGTTGATAGACACCTTCAACCAATGATGCAGGTAAAGATATATGCAAAGTGGGGTGTGGGGAGGGGCAGTTCCAACCCCAGGATCTGGTGCATTTTCCTCACTTTTCAATGGGGATGTGAAATACAGGGAAGACTTTTGGATATTAGTCAAATTCAACCAAACTGGGGTGACATCCTGAGTCATTGGATAGTCCAGCTTAGTGAGAGCACCACATGGCACAACTGGGAGCACGATATAGGTCACTGCCCACCTTTGCACATGAGGAAATTGAGGCTCAGAGAGGGGACTTGGGAAGCTAGTATCACACTCTGAGTGGTAGATCTGAGGTTGTTGCGACCCTGGTACTGACTCCCAGGCTGGATGGGAGCTGTAATAGGCGGTGCCCCTGACAACCAGCATGTGTGCATGCGTGCGTGTGTCTGTGTGTGTGTTACATCTATGTAAGCTGTGATCACCTGACCCCTGTTACACCCCATGGCCCACATCGGCTGCTACTTATGGGTCTCCCTGCATGTTTGCACCTCTGGGGTAGCTGGACGAATGAAGGGCAAGGGGGCCGAGCAGGGAGGAGGAAAGAAAGGTGGTATCTTTGAGACCCCCCATCCCAGCATGCAGGAGCCCGCCCCCACCCCTCACCCGCGCCGCCAAGCCCAGATGGGTGACACAGACCTCAGTCCCGAGCACTGGGCTCCTGCTCTCCCTGGGCAAACTGACCAGGCTGAAGCTGCCTCCTGGCTCAGTGGCTGCCCCTTGGTGCCTACCTGCAGGTACAGCTCTGCCTCGCACTGCGCCCTCTTCTCCTTTAAGGCCTCTCCTCTCCCTCCGAAGAAGTAGCAACCTCCTCCTCAGCCCCTGATTTTCCCCGGGGTGACATGCTCTTCTGCCTCGCTCTCCTCTCGTCCGCCTCTCTGCGTTGCTTCTGCCTTTCTGCAGCGAGTAACCCATTGATCTCGCTCTCTGAGATTCTCGCTTTGTGGTTAACCCCTCTGTGCCCAGGGCCCAGTCCATTCCTGGCCCTCTCACCTCCCATGGTCCTGCTTGCTCACTCCACTCCACATCCTCTCTGCTCCCTGCTCCAAAAAGGGCTCCAACCCAAGTTCAGAAAGGACTCCTAGTCTTTTTTTTGCCACATGGCATGTGGGATCTTAGTTCCCCAACCAGGGATCGAACCAGAGCCCCCTGCATTGGAAGTGCGGAGTCTTAACCACTGAACTATCAAGGAAGTCCCAGGACTTCTAGTCTTGAATGGAGTGTCCAACGTTAGGAAACCAGATAAAAGTCCCTTTTTCTGCAGACTAGGATTCCTCCTGGCCCTGAGAACTTCAAGACCCAGGAGCTTCCCTAAGCTGATTCCAGGGCTTCAGTCTGCCTGAAGACTGGAGGGTCTATGTGCATGTCCAGAGTCTGACTTTTAGTCTTAGGGCAGTGGGGAACTACAGAAGATTCCAGAGCAGAGGCGTGACCTGCTCATTTATTTTGTAATTAGCTTATTATGGCCTGGGGTTGATAGAATGGCTAGAGGGGGAGTGATTTAATGAGTGACCCATTAAGAGCCTCTCCTCCAGGCAAAGAGGTTACCAGGTTTTGGTGAATGACTGGTGATTCAGTCATGGGGTTCTGGTCCGGACCTCCTCTTGGAGGAGGAGTGGACCACATGGCCACATCTTCCAGAGGGTTAGAGGCCAGTGGGACAAGATGCATTGGATTTAACAACAAGGTGGTTGTTGGTACTAGACAAATGTAGTGGGGGCAGAAGGCAGTCTGCAATGAATGGGGAAGAGAGGCGGTAGGGGTTGTGTAGTCTTTCTAGAAGCTGGGAGGGTGGGGTGAATGTCAAGAAGTCTGTGCAAAGAGAAAGAAAACAGCCTGAGAGGATGCTGATGAAGCCAGGACTTGCAACCAAGGCCTGAGGAGCTGGGACGAGACTCTTCAGAACTGGCTTCCTGAGGCCCTGGGATGTTCACCAGTGCTCGCACTCCTCTAAAGCCTGATGCCACCCAACACAAATGTGGAACATCCCTGAACTTTGAGAAGCAGAAACTCATTGAATTGAAAATATTAGGGATCATCCCTAGATTCTGCAAACCTGAATTCAGAGCTATCAAAAATGCATTAAGGAGTTAGAATTGTAGAATCTTGTGATCTCTGAAGAGCAGAACTGTAGGATCCAGACTTAGAGTGGTGGGATTTGAGAACTTGGGGGTCCACAACCATCTTGTATGGAAGGAATGCACTGTGAGATGCCCAGAAGCCTTGACTCACAAATGTGGCAGGCCTGGACCCTGAAAGCCCTGACACACTGCCCTCCCTCCCCTTGGGAGCCCCAAGCCAGCTACGGCCCTCCTTGCCAGAGTCTGGGCTCTGGCTGGGCTGGAGCAGTTCTAGGGCAAAGAGCTCCCAGGAGCAGCTAAGCTGAGCTGTGATGACAGCCGAGAAGAGGAGGATCGCGGCAACCAGAGCAGGACCACCTGTGAGGCAGGCAGGATGGGCGCCTCCCCATGGCCTGAGCCCCTGCGGGCCCAGGGCACCCACACCTCCCCTTGTTCCAACTGCTGCTTCTGGCAGCTGTGGCCTTGAACCCTGAGCCCAATGTAGAAGACAGATGGTGCGCCCTGAGAGCAGTCCCTGGAGATCTGGGCCCTGCAAGATGTGAAAGTGCGACTTTGTGGCTGGCCCTATAGCCTGTTTTTGCCTCTGGCAATGACCAGTATGTGCTGAGCCCAAGCATGTGTGCCCAGAGGTGCCCCTGTGCCCGCTGGCACCTCTTCTGACCCCTTGGGACAGTTGCGGAAGACCTGCGCCATGGTGGACCTGGGCCAGTACAGGTCACATGCTGAACCATGAGCTGGCTGTAAACTTGGTGCCCTACTGTGAAGAGCTGGCCCACAGCGTCACAGTGCTGGGCTGTCCCCAGGCACACAATGTCAGCAGCTGGTGGTGCCTGGAAACTGTAGGAGGAAGAAGCATGCACTCTGTACCACTGGTGGGTGGACCTCACCTACGGCTATCTTATCTGGGCATCACCAACTGTGACCCGTCCTCCCGTGGCTGCTCATGGCCACCTGCCATGACCTGCCAGCCTGAGCAGACCACACACATCAAGCTGCTGGCCTGGCCAGGGGCTGGGCACCAGGCGGTGGGTACTTGCTGCTGAAGTGCACCTGGTGCTAGATGCCCTACCCCATGTTTGGGCCCCTGACATGGCCACTGCAGCCCCCTTCCCTAGGGCTGCATCCCCCAGTACCCCAAACTCCTGGACCCTCAGCTTCAAGCTGCCCAGGATCACAGGCTAGGATTCTCAGAATCCCAGCATTAAGACCCTGCTGGCTGGGACCAGAGCTCACCCAGACTGTCCCTCTCTAGACACCCAGGCTGAAGGGAGGGCTGGAGGTGTGGGGCACCAGAGCCGTGGCCCCCACCTTTAATGAAAAAGGGCTTTTTCATCCTCCCTGCCCTCTCGCCAGCAGACTATCAGCTCCCAAGGCCACACCATGCTGAGGCTGGAGCTATGTGACTCAGACCCATCCTTTACCCTACCAGGTGCCCATAAGGCTGTGGGGAGGGCTATGGAGAGAGAAGGGCTGCAACGATGGGAAGGGGACTGTCATCTCCAGCAGGGGAGCAGTGAGCCGTTGTCGGGGGTTGGGGGGGGCAGTGGGGATGGGGCCTTGCCTGTGGGGCTGTAAAAACAGCCTGTCCAAGGCCTGAAGTCTAGAGGGGGCTGGAAAATAGCAGCCAGAACCCGAGCTCACTGTGCCCCCTGGCGGTTCCTCTGACTAGACCAGTGAACCCTGGGAATATGGAAATGGAAGGGCTCCATATACCAATATAACAGCCAGTCTTGGTACAGCAGGGAAGACGGAGGCACACACGGGGGCAGGGGCTGCCTAAGGCCACAAAGGCAGGGACAAAGTGGAGCCAGAATATAGGGTTCCAGTATCTCGGGGCCTCTCCAATAGTGACAGACATTCTTTCCTCTGGGGCGCAATCTTCTGCTTCTCCCAAACATGGACTTGGGTGTCCAGCCCCTTTCTTATCTGGGCAGCTGTAGGCCATCCTTGGGGTGGGGAGCAGAGGACGAGGGTTTCACCAGGGCTAGACTCTGGAGGCTGCAGAGTAGGGGGGGCGGGTGGCATGGGAAGGGACCTGTAGGGCTGGTGCTCAGCTTCTCTCTACGTCAGGAAAGCATCCAACTGAGCCAAATGGTGGCCCCGGCCTCTGTCATCCCACCTGCCTGGGTCCCATTCTAATTTCAGAGAGGTGATCAACTCTGAGAGCTATCACAGCCCTCAAAGCCCCAGCTCCTGCCTGATCCTTCAACCAGCTTCAGGACTGGGGCTGCTCCGAGAAAATAAAGCAGAACAACACGTCACAGCCGATTGCCACACTGTTGTTTTAACCTCACACCCACAAGCACAGGCCTCCGGCCAGCCTGGCGCCAGGAATGACAGAGCTCAGAGCCTCTGGCCTGGGCTGATCAGAGGCCCCCCTTTTCACTGTGTTGGGAGGGGGACCTCAGCTCTGCTGGTCACTACCCAGAACTCAAGGCAGTGCCCCATGCAGTCGCCCCACCTCCACGAAGGCCTCCACGCAGCGGTCAATGTCCTCCTCGCTGTGCACTGCTGAGATCTGGACTCGGATCCGGGCCTTGTCCTTGGGGACCACAGGGTAACTGAACCCAATGACAAAGATGCCTGCGAGGGTAGAGAGGGTCAAGTTGGGGCTCACCAGAGCCAGGCAGGTTCTGGGGGGCATGACAGATAGCTCTTTTCTGGGGGCTACAGAGGGCAAGGGAGTGGCCAAAGGTCTCTCAAACCTAGGACTGCCTCATGGCCTAGGGTTCTCAAGCTTGGACAGACATCTGATCTAAGAAGGGTAGTAGGGCTGGGGGAAAAGGGGATATTCACAGTCTAAGGGTTCCCTCCTTTTCTTTTAGGACCCACAGCCACATCTCAAGCCCCGCCTCCTTACCTCTCTTAAGCATGTCATCTGCTATGTTTAAGGCCAGCCGAGCATCACCCAGCATCACAGGGCAGATGGGGTGATTGGCTCCTGAGATGGTGAAGCCAGCAGCTTCCATCTGACTGCGGAATCTGTGGGCATGAGATGGGTGTTACTGGGAATTGGGAGACTGTGGAGTAACCACATCCACTCCTGATGGACATGGATGTGACCCAAGGCTTGTGACCAAGTCTGCAGGAGGGACCAACAAAGACAGAGATGCTGACCCAGAGAGGCAGATGGGGAAAGAGGCAGAGGAACAGGAAGACCAGTTAGGGAGGCGGAAAGACAGGACTGTACAAGAAGGGGGAATGCAGCATTATTTGCAAAGAAATGCACCGGGGAGACTTCCCTGGGAGTCCAGTGACTAATACTCCATACTTCCAATGCAGGGGGCGTGGGTTCGATCCTTGGTTGGGGAGCTAAGATCCCACAGGCAGTAGGGCCAAAAAATAAAAAAAATAAACATACATGAAATGTACCAAGAAATGGGAGAAAAAGACACAGAGAAGAGGGTGAGGGCAAGCAGGTAGCCCCTGGTTAAGAGAGCCAAGTTCCAGTGCAACCCGCTGGGGACACAGAGGTGGGCAGAGGCAGGATGCAAAGGCAGGGAGTTATGGGCCTGTGCAGGCACACAGGGCAGACCCTCACTAGCTCCCTCGCCCCAGCTGGCCCCACCCTGCCCAGGACCGCACCGCAGGGTCTTGGCCGCCATAGACTGGACGATGGCATTGCTCTCCATGAGCAGGTCCAGGGCCTTGGAGGCACAGCCGACAGAAGCAGGTGGCAGACTGTTGGAGAAGAGGTAGGGCCGGGCCCGCTGCCGTAGCAGGGACACCAGGGCCCCAGGCCCGGTCGTGTAGCCCCCTGAGAACAAGGGTGAGCACAAGGAGCCAGAGCTTACCCCATGGCCCTCCTGAGAGGACAGTCCATGCTGTCTTCTTCCCTGCAGCCCCAGGTCTCCCCTTCCCACCTCCCTCAAGACCCCCCCAGGGCCGTGCATGCAGATAAAGGGAGCCCAGGGGCCCAAGCCAGCAGGCACCTGATGCTCCACCCAGTGCCTTCCCCAGTGTGGAGTTGATGATGGTGACTTGGTCCATCACGCCCAGCAGCTCATCTGTGCCCCTGCAAGGGAAGCTGCCACTACCACCATGGCCACCTGAGCACCCAGACTCATGGGTTGGGCGTAGGGGCTGGCCTTGTTGTTTCCCACCCACCCTGATGAGTCCAACCCAAGGCCTCAGGGGCTGTGTGCTCCCACCGTCCTGTGGGCCCCAGGAAGCCAGTGGCGTGGCTTTCGTCCACAAAGACCAAGGCACCGTATTGAGAGGCAAGGCGGCAGATTTCCTGCAGGGGTGCGATGTCACCATCCATGGAAAAGGCCCCATCAGTGGCCACAAGGCGCAGCCGATGCTTCTACAGAGAAGATACGGAAGGCAGTGGCTGGTATCATGAGTTGGACCAAGTCACTCCCTTTCTGTGCTGCTTGGCGCTCTAAAGGCTCACTCTGCCCATGCCCAGAACAGAGATGAGCACACATGTAACCTCATGCTGAGGCTGACACATCCTCTCCCTCCTCTGGGCCTTCCCCATCTCCTCCAGGGCAGTCTGGAGACATGCTTAGCCACTGGGCAGTGAGAATGCTCCCAGTCTTCTCTCCAGAGGGCAGGGTGGGGTGGGGTCAGTTCTGTCCATAAGCTTATCCCACTCTGATGCTGGGCAGGCGCCTGCCACACATAAGGTGCTTCCTCGAACTCAAAACAGCATTGTGCCATGGGATAAAGTTTTGGGTCTAAGATTGTTGTTGTTTAGTTGCCAAGTCATGTTGCGTCTGAGGATCTGGGTTCAGATCTTGGCTGTTTAGAACTTTCAGGCTATTTGCCTGTGCGTGAGGAAATGGCTTCTGCAAGCCTCTTTTGCTTCACTGGGGAAGGGGGCAGTTTGCAGGGGAGGCTGAGAATAAAACCTTGGCCCTGGACGCGTGAGACCCTGCTGCACCTGGGCCTCCTGCAGCTTGGCTTCCAGATCAGCCATATCCAGGTGGCGGTAGCGGTATTTGTGGGCCTTGCACAGACGGATGCCGTCAATGATGGAGGCGTGGTTCAACTCATCCGACAGGACTGCGTCCTCCGAGGTCAGCAGGGCCTGGTGGAAGGCAGTCAGAAGTAGAGCCTTCACCCAACCACCATGGGGTTCTCCCTCCCTCCTGAATCCCCCTGAATCAGTATTTCATGCCAACCAGGGCATTCTTCTGGGCAGGGAGGCGAGGAGCCCCTGACTCTATCTTGATCCCCAGGGGTTCCAGGACTGGGCTGAATCAGAGACCCTGCTCTAGCAAAAGCAGGTGAGAACATGTTTGGTGAATGCCTGGCCCTAACACCCTCAGCCTTCCAGCTGATGTAGGTTACCTCCCAAATGCCCTGGAAGCTGGCCTCCATGTAAGCCCCAGGATTCCTCCTGGAGACATGCTGGCCCACTGGAGCCTCTAGACACGGCCCTGGTGTCCTGCCAAGTGCTCCGAACTGCACACTCCCAAGCCCTGCACAGCCTGGCAGGCCTCACCAACTCCCACCCGTGGTGTCACACACCTCAAAGAGGCCGGTGTTGGCATCAAAACAGCTGGGATAGAGGATGGCATCCTCCCGTTGGTGGAAGCGGGCTATCTTTGCTTCTAGATCTTTGTGGATGCTCTGAAGTAAAGGAGTGAAACACATATCAATGTCTTTGGGGCCACATGGGACAAGTCCTGGGGACAGAGGCTTAGAGGGCCACAAACAGATCCTCCCCCTTCTTTTTGCACCACAAGGGTTCACCCAGAGCTAACACAGGAATCTGAAGCATTAGGGGCCCACTAGGTGCCCCTCTTCCTGGTTGGGTTTTCATTTTACAATGGGGGTCTGATGGTAGAATTATGGATGCTAATGGCAAAGGAAGATATTTTCTCTATTAAACTGAGTACCCTTTTTTTCTAATTTCTTTTTTCTGTATTTTCCTTTTATTTATTTATTTTTCAACCACACCACACAGCATGCAGGATCTTAGTTCCCTGACCAGGGATCAAAGATCAAATCTGTGCCCCTTGCAGTGGGAGCACAGAGTCTTAACCACTGGATCATGACGTAAGTCCCTAAGTGCCTTTTCCTGTTGTTTAATGGCAAAAAGGAGGATTACATAAGTAACTCTAGGTTCATTTGGGCCTCCACTTGTTAGATTTGGAAGCTGTCCAGTCTAACCTGCCCTGGTTGGAAGTCAAAATTTCCATTCATTTCACCTTCACCTTTCTGAGAGGACAAGTAATAATAATCACAAGGACTCAGAAGCACTGACTCTTGAGCAAGGCCATAGTGGTTCAAGTTCCACCACAATAGGCTGTGTCCTCTGGGCAAGTCAATTAACTTCTCGGGGCCTCAGTGTCCTCATCTCTAGAACAGGGACAAGAATAACACTTAGAACTTGGGATTATTATCTGCATTAAGAAGTAATTTGCAATATTCTTAAAATAGCACATGAAACATAGTAAGCACTGTAAGTTTCATGTATAAAGAGTTCATTTTGTAGCATATACAAAATAAAATTATTAAGCAACATTTATTGAGCACTGCTGTGTGCCAGGCCTTGTTCTCAGCATTTTTACATGTATTGGGCTGGCCAGAAAGTTCATTCAGGGTTTTCTGAACGATGTTACGGAAAAACTTCAATGAACTTTTTTTGCCAGCTCACTATTAACTCTTTAATTTGGGGTAATCTTATTAAGTATTATTATTCCCACTTTACTAATGAAGGCATTGATGCTCAGACAAGTTAAGACACTTGCCCATGGTAACAGAACCAATAAATGGTGGTACTAGAAACCAAACTCAGGCAGAATATCTCCAGAAACCTCTATTTCAATCCCTGCCTTCTATTCTTCCTTTCTTGAAGAGGAACAGGTAAGAAGCTCTGTTCTGTGGGTGGGGAAATGGATACTCTGAGAGGTTAAATTTCTTGCCCAAGGCTTCACAGCAAAGCAGAAGCTTGAACCCAGTTTTTCCAGTGAACAGCACTGGGGCTAAGCATGGGCCCAGAGTTCTCGGATGAGCTGAGTTGCCTAAACCAGCCCTGCTGACTGCAGAAGCAGACATCTGAAGTCAGTGCCCAACCACCCCGTCCTCCCCGGCCCCAGCCCGGGCCACGCCCTCGGTGTACCTGGGTGCCACAGATGAAACGGACAGAACTAAGGCCAGCTCCAAACTCCTTTAAGGTCTGCAGACCTGCCTGGATGACCTCAGGGTGGCTGCTCAGGCCCAGGTAGTTGTTGGCACAGAAGTTAATAATTCCTGAGATGGAGGACAGGGGATAGACACAGGAACTCAGGACAATCAGGGCCAGGCCCTGGGGACTCAAGAGAGGAAATGAACCTGGAGTCACCCTTGAAGAGGCAACAACCATACAATATGATCTGTTCTGGGGCAGAGGCCAGGCTGGGGAGCAGGGATCCCCTAGGAGGCACAGAATTCAACAGTTACAGGAGAGGGAGGGGCAGAAATGGACTCCCAGAAGAGCACTTTGGAGAAGGAGAAGGTTTGGATCACATTCACCCACAGCCCTTCCTCTCTGGCTTCTTCGATCTCTGAAGACAACCAGTAACCCCTCATCCGGCCCTTGGCTCTTTCCTGGGTAAAAGAAGAGGGCATCACAGAGCCCTACAATGGTCTCCAAACTCCACACAGTTGACTTTCCTGCCTGGTACAGAACTGTATGCCCAGGAGGGTGGCCTCTCTGAGACCTTGACCCTTGCATTTTAAAGCCCAAAGTGGACACAGCTGACCCAGGAAGGAAACTAAGGCTCCAAGAGGGCAAGGTTTACTCAGTTTGGGAGAGGCAAAACAGGATGGGAACCTGGGTCTCCTAATTTCCCACTGTTTGATCTGCTCCAAGGTTCCCTGGAGGAGGAGAGAGACCTCTGTTTTACAAATAAGCACAATAGCACCAAGTATTCCAGGCCTATTTCCTGGGCAGAAGGCAGGTTTGGAGGCCTATTGGTAACCAGCACCCACCTGGGTTCTGGCACAGACAAGATGAGCAGTGACCACAGATGAGACAGAAACCAGGGAGGCCTGGTGGGCCAGTTCACAGTATGACTTGTGGGGCAGCCCTCAAGCCCCTTGCTCAAATAGTGATTGTGGCCAGAAAGTTGGTCTCTATGGACAGTTAGGTGACCTTCCTGCTCCAATATACCAGAAGACCTACCCTAAAAGCCCAGCTCTTCCCGCAGCTAGCTGGGGGTTTATGGGCAAGGCACTTCAAATCTATGAGCATCAGCTTCTCTTCGTTTGTAAATGGGACCAGTCATGCCCATGTTTTGAGATTTGCAGGAGTGCAGGCGCAGCGATGAGCAGAAATCTGAACAAAGCAGCAGCTCTAGAAATGTGGGATTTCTTGCTGCTGCCTTCCCATCACCCTTTCTTAAATCCGTATGGTGGGAGCCAACTGGCTGTCTCGCTTTCTTCCTTAGGTTCTCACAGGCTGGATCTCGGATCGAGCCCTGGCCTCTAAATCAAAAAGGTGCTCAAAGGGCAAATTACCTTCTTCTGGGGGAACAGGTCTAATCAAGTTAGAATTAACTGTGGGAAAAGGCAAGTCGGCCTGACAGATGGGAAACGGTCCAGCAGCGGCTACGTGTGCCCGTGTTCCGGCCCGCTCACTGCCTCCAGGATCTCCATTTCAGAGAAACCCTCAGGACGGCCCCCCGAACACCTGGCAAGGTCTGGCGATTCCCAGGAGAGGGTAGTTACCTCCCGGGGCGCCGTCCACGTGGATGTGCGGCCCCTGACTGGACGTGATGACCCGCTCGCTCTTCCAGGTGCCAGCTCTACGGATGCTTTCCAGCTCCTCCTTCAGGATGCCACGCAACTGAGCCAGCGCCGACTGCGCCCGGCGGCCGCGGGAGGCCCCGGAAAGCGCAGCATGTAAGACGCGGCCAGCCCACATTTTGCCCACCTCGCCCGAGCTAGACTGCCCGCTCAGGTCCTTGCGCACCAAGGCTGCGGCGTCATCACGTGCGGGGGCAGGGCCCCGGCAGCCAATCGAAGTGAGAAGGGCTCCGCTCTAGGGCAAGGGAGGCGGACCTAGGAATAGGAGGGCGGGACCTGGAGGGATCAGCAGAGGACGAAAGTGGAGTGACTTGTCTGTAAGTTGAGACTGGAGCTGTCCCTGTTGGGGGAGAGGCGGCGACGGGGTTTGGAAGACACATCAGGGCCAGACCCACCAGACCAGACCCCCCCCACCCCATTCCCATGCCCTCCCTACACACGCATCTCCCGGAAGGTAGGGACGCCCTCTGGACGCGGGCGCCTAGAAGCAGGCTGAGGCACGTTCCATATGCTCCGGCCCTAAGTTTCCTGGGTTCTGTCGAGCTCTTGGAACTCTCCCTAGTGCTTAGGTGCAAACGCCCCCAGGTTTCGCCCACCATATTGCTCCGCATTCTCCTTCAGTTTTAGAAGTATGGAAAAACACACCGCTCAGATTTTTTCCTTTTTTACATTTTATTTTAAAGTTTGAAAATACAAAGACAGCAAATTCTTCCAGGCACAAGGAACACTTATTTAAAAATAAAAAGGGGCGAGGGGGGTGGGAAAAGCGCAAGCGCGCCTATTTAAAAAAAAGGAAAGACTGTACAGGGTTTTTTCTCCCAGCTCCCGGGTGTGAAACGTTAAGTACTAGCCCTAGGTATGTACACACACACACACACACACACACACACACACACACACACACACACACACACACAGACCTAGCTCTGTAAAACTACTTAGCAACTCAAAGTCGACTGCAGTATGTCTTACTGTCCACTCCCCGCCCTCCCCTCCTCCCCCGTCTACCACTACGTCTAAAAAAAGTAAAGAGGTCAGGAGGTTTTTAAGTGGTGAGTGGTAGGGCCGAAGCCCCACTAGACTGCCAAGCAAAGCCACCTCTTGTACAAGAGGAACCAAAAATAAGGGGTGAAAGGAAAAAGGTCCTCCTAGGAAACAATACAATTGTGTGGAAAAACCCAAGTTTCAACAGGAGCACACTGAGGCCCTTGGCTGACAATCCTCACCCTTCCCAAGTTTCTACTCCCATTTAACAAGAGACTTTCTGAATCCACAGAAACCCCCAGTGGCTAGTTTCTAGCTGACTGAAAAGCTCCAGTTTCTAGGACCAGCTGTCACTTTAACCCTCCCTCTCGTTCCCTAGGACAATAGAGAGGCCACGCGGACAAACAGAAGTGAGAAGGAAACTGGGTTTGGAAGTCCCACTCTCACCACGGGAAGGTGTCAGACAGCCAAGAGAGGGTTTTCCCCCACCCCCATCTACCTCCTTTGCCGTCCATCTGCTGCCAACCCTCTCTACTCCCCACCAAGGTTCTGAAACTCTCACAAGGAGTGCTCAACTTAAAGCTTGATGGTCTCTGAGGAACTCCTACAAATCTTTCAGTTCCTGGGCTCACTGTCACCTAGCCCCAACAAACTACCTTGCCCATTCCTCCCCCCAGCCCCACCGACTTTTACCTTCAGAATGAACCAACCACCCAACTAAAGAAAACACACAAACCCACCCAAATTCCCAAACCCACAAGCAGATTAGTAACAAATAAAATATAAGTACATTCTCATCATTACAGAGATATTTGTTGTTGCTGTCCTTGCATGGTTGGTTAAGGAAAAATGAATTATTCCCTAATTTCTGAGAAATACAAATTCTGTCTCTTTACAAAGTCAGAAGGGAAAGGGGCAAAGGATGGCAGATGAGACCAAGAGAGAAGGAGAAAGTATTTACAGAAAATAGGCAGGAGTGTCCACAAGAAAAGCCTCATTGTCACTTCTTCTTGCCGGTCCTCTTGGCACTGGACTTGGCTTTGGGCTTCACTGGTTTGGCCTTCTTAGGCTTGGATGCCTTGACTGGCTTGGCTTTGACAGTCTTAGGTTTTTTGGTTTTCTTGGGCGTGGCAGCCGGCTTCTTCTTGGCCTTCTTGACTGGGGTGGCTTTGGGCTTCTTGCTTGGGGCTTTGGAGGCAGCCTTCTTGGGCTTGGCTGCCTTCTTTGGCGTAGCCACCTTCTTGACTTCCTTCTTCGTCTTCTTGAAGGCCACGGACCTTTTAGGCTCATCGCTCTTGGCCAGGCGGAAAGACCCCGAGGCACCCACCCCTTTGGTCTGCTTGAGGACTCCAGTGGTGACCAAGCGCTTGATGGACAACTTTATCTGGGAGTCCGCGTTCTCACCCACCTTGTAGTGGCTCTTGATGTACTTCTGGATGGACTGGCGCGAGGAACCAGCGCGGTTCTTCTCTGCCTGGATGGCAGCCACGATCATGTCTGAATACTTGGGGTGGTCTGTGGACTTCTTGGAGGCCTTGGCCCGCTTGGGCTTGGCCGCAGGGGTGGACGTGGAGTTCTCGGTCATGGTGGCCTGCCTGGTCCTGCTGTTGAAGACAGCACCTTCCAAAGGGCCAGCCCTCGTCGGAAGCCGAGGAAAGCCTGATTCGGGATCTGCTCTGGAGCCTCTGGCTCCCAGGCCAGTCCAGAGGCCGACTCTCGGTGGCCGGCTCGGGTCGCGGGGAGGACTCACTGGGCCGTGTCTGCGTGGCCCAGCCCCGCCGGTCTGTCGCTCGGTCGGTCTCGGCTGCCGGCTCTGCCTCCGCCTCCTCCTCTTCTGCCTCCCTTCTGCCTCCCTTTTCCCAGCTCCGCGTCTGGCGCTCGGGCGGCGCATCCGGGTATTTAGCCGCGGCGGGCGGACCGCGGTGAGGACAGGGCTGCTGGCTGCCTGCTCCCGGCCCGGAATGGCGCCGCGCCGCCGCCATCTGTGTTTCTTCCGCCGAGCAAATCCGACCTTTCCTCCCGGCCCGGGCCTTCCTGCTCCCCGCCGCCGCTCCGGGCCGCTGCCTGGTTCTCTGAGCTCCTCCGCCAGGCGTCCAGCTCCCTCGGCCGCCGCCCCCCGCGCCCGCCACGCGCCCCAAACAGCGCTGAGGACCGGTGGCGCGCCGGCACATTTCCCCTTTGCGGGGGGCTGGCTCTGCGGGGCCTGGGAGTCCCGCTGCTTGAAAACCCCCGTAGGAAAGCTCCCCCCTGGGGCTACCGGAGACCCCACTCCCGGCCCGCCGCGGGACCCCCCAGCCCAGCAGAGCGGCCCGAAAGCGGCCCCAACTAACACACGCGGCCCCGAGACGGGCGACTCCCAGCCGGGCCGAGCTGGGACAGGGGGGAGGGGTCGCTCCCCCGGGGTCTGGTCACCTCTCGGGGGTCATCCTGCCACCGGGCCCCCCGCACCTCTACCATCTCTCAGTCCATGGGACCCCGAAGTAAACTTTCCCTGGAAGAGTTGGAAGGGCACTTTCAAACTTTGCCCCTTCCCCCTCCTCTCTGTTAGCTCCCCCAGCGCGCCCCCGACATCTGCATCGAGGATCTCTCCTGAGGCCGAACCCCGAATGCTGCCTGAGTTCCTAAGGGAATGAAGAGGGGTCTCCCAGATCTCCTCCTCTCCTCAAAGACCCCCCCCCCCCAATCCTCCATGTATCCTACCTGGGAATTCATTTATAGTCCTTCCTCAGCCTAGGAGTTTGGGGGTGTCAGAGACAGAGCTTGCTGCCCCCACTCCTAGGACCCAGCCTGGGGGTCTAGTCCCCCTCCCAGGACTCCTTGAAGAAGATGCGCAGGGAGGTCCACAATGAAGGCGCTGCTCGGAAGGCTCTAATCAAAGACTGTCTTGGGGACCCCTGGGATGAGAAGCCCTGAGAGCTTTGGGAGTTTGGGAAAACGGGGCTCTGGCGGGGAGGTCGAGGAGAGGGTCATATTGCTTGAGTCCTGAGTCATCTTCAGAAAGTGTGAGTTGTTCAGGGAGCCCTGGCCGGGACCACCTCCATTTTGCTCGGAAGATGCGATGTCTTTGTTAAAATGTATGTATCTTTCCCCTTGCTGCTTGGCAGGTTACAGATAAGGAAAACAAGGGGCACCACCGTCTGTGGGAAGCTTCGGGGGCTCAGAGGGGCTTTAGTGGTCAGAGGCGCAGCGTTCCTGGGACCTCTTGTCTGCCATAGACGTCCAATATTCACATGCAGGGTCCCTCTTGGCAGGGGTCCTAGGTTGAGATTGTAATGCTCCCTCTCTGAGCCCCCTCCCGCAACAACCCGCTTTTATTCTGCAAGCAAATAAGCTGTCACTCTTAGCTTAAACAATACCCTGGTGGTGGGGATTTATAGCTAGTCAAAATGATGAAGGTATCTGGGTAGTAAGGTCCAGGAGGTGTTTGCAGACACCAGCTGTAGACGGGGAAGGGTTGGAGGGTTTAGATGGGGGAAGATAGGGGAAACTGGTCGCTATTGGGAGGGGTGTGTGTGTGGGGGGGGAGGCTCCTACTGGACTTGGGAGTCTCTGAGGACAGGGAAATTAATGGGTTCCCCCCCTCACACACACACACCAAGGGCTGGATTAATCCAAATGATTGGGAACGGGGAGGGGGAGTCTTGAGACTGTATCGGTATGGGATACCTTCTCCGGGGCTTATCTTGGTGGCACAGATGAGGAAGAGAAACCAGGAAGGGCCAGGTTAGTTCAAAAGCTCAACCTTCTTATTTGGATATTGTCAATTACCTCGAAGTCTCCTGGCTTGAAAACACAACATTCTGATGGGTTTGCTTTGGTTATTGTCAAAGACAGTTCTTCCGGTTCCCACTAAGATCTAGATTGGGAAAATAGGCATCCACGTGACAGCCACAGGTCCGAGATGTTGTTTCACCCAGCGATCCTATAGACATGTCATCCCCCCATCCCAGGTCCCCGTGTGCCTCAAAATAAGGCCTGAATGAATTCAATGGCACCATGATGAAATAATTTTATTTGCACAGCGCTCTCCACCCGTTTCTTGATCCTTCGCACCTCCTGCCTGGGGAAGCAGGTAACGCCATCACTCTCCCCAACGGAGTTGGGCATAGAGTCCGAGACCGAGGTGGGCACGAACAGAACAGGCTGCCTCCAGATTGGCTTGGGCTCACCTCGCCTCGCAGACACTGCAGA